TACCTCAGGGGCCCTCTAAAGTACCCCAAAGTTAGCTGGAAATCAAAAGAAACAATTAAAATTTGGTATTTGGGAAGTTTTTCAAAAAGTTTTAAAACACTTGGTCAAATAGGATCATAGGTCACTGTGAGACAATACTTATTTCTTAACCAAAGTTACAAAAGAGCTCAAAAGCAAATACAAGTCACTTAAAGTCAAAGAAGCTCACATAATCTGTTGTCAAAAGAAGCATTTCAAGAATACTTCGGAGGGAGAAACCAAATCCAGTCTTGTTCTAGCCCATTCCTAACAAAATGCATTTACCAACTAAATTCAATCCAACCTTACAAAATCCTAATCATGCATAACTCTTTTCAGTATTTTTCATCCTCACTTCTTTTACTAAAAACATGTATCTTACTTTTCTTAAAAGTTTTTTCACATTGAGTTACCTTTCTTGTTGACAAATTTTTAACAGATAGAATAAGGTCTTATTTGACCTCTAATAAACCTAGGTACAACAGAAGTATTATGTTGATGACTCTAGAAACATGTCTATATTAATCAAACCAACAAGCTTAATACACCTTCAATGCCAGATATCAGTTTCCAGATGACATGAACCCGAAAATTCATTCTGGCCAGATTGTTTTTTATTTGAGTATTTATATAAGCACTTAATTTTTTTTAATGCCAATTAAGTAGAGCTCTCTTATGAATTCATTTTTGGCAATATCATACACCTACAACACACATATAGATACATATGAACACACAACAAACACAGAGGCCTCATAGTTCCCATTCAAGATTTCAGCCCTCAGTCAGGTACAACATAAAAGCCATCAGTTACAAGGGGTTGGATTCAAATTGGGCTTCTAGCAGATGGAACAAATCAAGGTCACCTACCTGGATGGCTAAACCCTTTTCACTAGTGTTTACAGAAAAGACACTTAAGATTTTTATTTATCCTTGACAAGTCAAGTTCTAAATTACTTTACCATCTTTTTAAAATTTGCCTTTAAAAAGACAGCAGAGATAAGGGTTCCTGAGAAGACCAGACAGGACATGTGCATCTCAAAGAACCCATGTTTTTTTAATTTTTACAATGCTTCCTCTCAAGTTATGGATTACAGAGGCATGCGATTTCAAGTACTTATCAGGCTCATTATCGGTATTATAAAAATAAAATAAACCATCTACCTTTTAAAGGCATAGGTCATATTTTTTTGTTCATCTTAATTATTTCTTTAAAATTTATTATCTTGAGTGTAAACTCAGTGAATGCTAAAAATATACAATCAGTTTCTTAACTCAAAATATTTATCATTACAGGTAACATGCATTTAATATTTATTGGAGATCACTGAGAGAGCCAAGGCCAAGTGACTGAAACAAACAGAATCTTATAATCTAAATGAGCAACTGTCAAATTAGGGAGCTTGGGAAGGAAGATAATATCAAAAGGGCTCTATGGTTTGAAAAAATATTCAATATGCTTAACATACATATTATTTATTTTCTCAAATTACAGAAAGCAAACCTCAAAATTCTTGGCTTATGAGAATATGCAAACAAAAAAGTACATACTCTATTAATTGTAAAACTGTAAGCACTGTATTTTGTCAATGATGTAACAGATAATGCAATTTACAGTTATGCCCAGTATATCATAGTATTAACAAAATGTTCAATAGTCTCCTATTTAAAAAGTAAAAGAAAATAACCACTTGGCAACCATCTGAGTAATAACTGATTCAAGTGAGAATCATCAATGGACACTAAAACTAGTAGGCAAAAGTTGGAAGAAACAGGATATTTGTGGTATCTTCCCACAAGTTATTTATTATTTCCAGAAGGAAAAATAGTAATGCTACATTGAAGGTACTACTTTGTGTGTCTTATTGTGTGAAGATAGGTAAATATATTATGATGTTGAAAAGCCAGAGTATTTCTATATACTTGTTTAAAGCAAAAACCACAACACTGTTTTGGGGGTCAATAATGTATATACTTATACATGTCAACCACAGCATAAAGGATGAGGATAAGAGAATCCACATAGTGGTCAGGTTTCTACATTTTATGTTAAGTAGTACAATATTAACTCCAAGTGGAATGTGAAAGTTAAGGACTTACTTGTCAAAACAGGTTAAAAAAGCAAGACCCAACTATATACTGTCTACAAGTCATGCATTTTATAAGACACAGGTTAAAAGTTGATTAAAAAAAAAAAGATATACCTGGCCAACAGAAAACATAAAAAGGCTATTAATATCAAATAAAATAGATGTGAAGACAAAGATTACCAAAGATAAAGTGATACATTTCTTAATGATAAAAGGGTCAAATTAATCAGTAAGATATAACATTTAATAGCAAAGTTTCCACTGCTTTTGTAAATAGAATTTTATCAGAACACAGCCATGCCCATTTATTTACGTACTGTGGACGGCTACTTTCATGCTATAATTGCAGAGTTAAGTAGTTGTAAGAGAGACTGTATGTCTCACGAAACCTAAAATATTTACTACCTGGCCCTTTACAGAAAATGTGTGCTGATTTCTGCAAAGGAATTAAGTCACACACAGAACATGTGTTTTATCCAACAGTAGGCAAGTCAAAAGCAAAGTAGTAAATACGATTCATAACTATTTGAAAAGAGGAAAAGAAAAATATCAAAGTAAAATAGGGTTATGTATTTCAGTGACTATACCTTGATTAGAGGTATCTATAACATATAAGAATGAGCCTCAAGTAGAAGTTGAAATTCAGTTACATTTTCATTTAACTAACAGTCCTAACTCAAGATAGAACCTCACTATATCCTTAACATAAATAACTAGTTTTTGCAACATATAATAAAGAAAACTAAAAGGGCACTAATCTGACAATTTTCCCCCAAAACACAGCATTAAGTTTTAATGAGCATTTTTTTCCTGCCCTGACATTAAACAGATGACAGTTTAGTATAACTCCAATCAGCCATGGAAACTCTATTTGTTCAAGTAGCAAGTTTAAACAGTATAAGGAAGTGTTTTAATGTACACTTGGATTCAAACTCTTTATAGCAAAATTCTTAGAGAATATGAACAATTCTAATATAATGATGCATTTACTTAGTTTTGTATTCCCCATTAAGAAATGGGAATACACACATAGAAATCATTTGTAAAACTCTGACAATGGTAGTGACTCAAACTTGCTTAAAATAAAATTTTTTACAAAAGAAGAAAAATACATTTACACATGCACACTTGTTTTTCTGATCTGAGGTACACAGAACCAAAAAGTAAAAAAAAAAAAAAAAAAAAAAAGGTAGCCAACATACTAAGGTTAAGAAAAACAACACAACAGGAACAATATGAAAGATGCTACGAGAGACAGAAAGACTATGAAAAAAGAGAAGTGAAGGTGGATGACAATTAGTACTCACCTTTGAAATATGGCTTTTCTTCTTCAGGGAGAAGAGATTAACAGGTTAAAACTACTGTATTAAAGAAAGGCTGAAAAACATTTGGAGTCTCTACCTATACAGGTCATTAAGAATAGGCAAACTGAGTGACTTAAACAAATGCATACTTGCAAGAATGGCTAGATCTGCACTGTCCAGTAGGATGGCAATTAAAGTTAAAATTAAATACAATTAAAAATTCAATTATTCCACTGCACTAGACACATTTTAAGCGCTCAGCAGCCTCATGTGGCTAAAGGCTATGGTACTGGACAGTGTAGATACAGAACATTTCCATCACCACAAAAAGTTCAACTGGGCAGCCCTTGGCTAGGCTCAGTGTCTTGAGATGTCTAAACTGTAAAGTTAGCTTGATTTTCCCTAGAACTCTTTGTTTCATTTATGTATTTATTTTATAGAATTTTTTTGGTTTTTATCTTACAGGGCCTTTTGTTCTTCAGTCATATCTATCCATTTCAACATTATTTTTCATATTAAATTGAAAATGCATGCAGTTTCAAAAAGAAACAGAATGTACCCCTTATGGAAAGAGTAGCAATTTAAAATGTGTTACACAACACAATGCTTTTTAAAAAATTTGCAGAACTGTACAAAATGTATACAAATATATAGAACTATCAGTTTGATATTATTTAATGTAATTAGTGAATTATAAAAATATATTCTCTAAATATAAATTCAGATATACTATGGTTGAAAAATAGAAGTAAATCTAAGTTACCTAAGTCAGAGATACAAATAGTGAAGAAAATACCAAGTAAAATCAATGGTTGTAATAGCATAGCAATAAAATCAACCAAAATTTTTAATATAAAAACTCTTCTTAAACACTACTCAGAACATTTGATTCAAATGAAGAGTACTGAAAAATTCCCTTGTATTAAAGAAATATATAAATAAGGACATTTAAGTCATGCTTTAAAATTTAACAGCCTAATTAAAAACTATGTAAATGAAAGACAATATATCAAATGAAATTCACATCAGAATTAACAACAAATAAATTTCTGAATATGTGGCAAAGGTAGAATCCACATTATCTGTATGTAAATTGTAAGAAATTCATAAGTATTGATAATTCTGTAAGTTACTACAGTTTTTTATGTGACAAACAATATAGTCACAATATATCACCTATTTTCTAACTTTTATACATTATTTCTGCAAATATTCACTGCATGTTTAAAGATTTAGAACTTATACCATATATCTTACTACATTTTCAATGCAGTAATAAAGTTATTTTAGATTCACTGAGTGGGGATGAAGGGGGAATCAGATGAAAGTGATCAAAAGGTACACATTTCCAGTTATAAGACAAAGTACTAGAGATGTACAGCATGATAAAGATAGTTAACACTGCTTTCTTTACCTCATATATGAAAGTTGTTAAGGGAATAAATCCTAAGAGTTCTCATCACAAGGGAAAAAAACTTTTTTTCTATTTCTTTGATGTTGTTTCTATAAGATGATGGATGTTCACTAAACCTACTGTGGTCACCATTCCATAATGTATGTAAGTCAAATTATTATGTTGTATACCTTAAACTCATACAGTACTGTGTGTCAATCATATCTCAATAAAAGTAGAAGGAAAAATAAATTCACTGACATCTGATTTTAAAAATCTAATCACAAATGAGAATAAATTAAACAAGCAGAAGAGAGTGGAAAGCAACTAAGGAAAAAGAAAACACCTTAGAAAAAACAATAATGGAGGCTAAGAAGAATATTCTGAAGTAAAAACCAAAGAAAGCTTTAAGCAATAAAATCCAGAAACAAGAAGTAAAACTTTAAGACCAAATAAAAACATGTATCAGATCAGGTTCTTTACTAAATTAATAATTAGATAATAATTTGCTCTTGTTTTGGAGTCACAAATTACCTTTCCTACCCCACCTTCCCAGTAGAAAAATACATAATATCTATATACTGAGATTCACAGTTTCTGGATTTATTTTCCCACCACTTAAACTGTGGATCATTGCTATCATATGAGAGTGTTTGTTCAACTCCTCTTGCTGAAGTTTCACCAGGGACTCTTTCTCTTCCAAACGACCTTCTAACTGAGCCTTCTGAACTTCTAGGGAGGAAGCCTAAAAAAGGGGCATGGGGGAGAGAAATTGAAGAAAACAAACTTAGCATGTTTTCTCTTCACAGAAACATGCTTTAAGATGTCCTTAGTTTTTATTTGTAAGACAACCATATCAAAAGATACATTACGATATGTATTATATTTTAATTAACAATTATATGGTAAGTTTAAGATCAATAGTTGATAAACAATATAATACAAATTGGGGAGACACATTCAATTTGTCTTTTTAAGTCAATGCTAGCAGTTGGACTTTTGCAGAAAATACTACATATTATCATTTAGAATTACTATTAAGATAAACACATTAAGGCAGAATCAGGATATCTGTAAATGTGGCATTAAATTTTATGCCTCTTCTGTCACTTATGCTCTGTAGTTGTTCAGTCTTTTTAAAATCTTGGTCTGTTCTCATCTTTCTAGTGGTAGATGGTCCAGAAAGCACTATTCTTGGCTACCGCACTCAAGCAATCATGATAATGTAGAAAGAGCAATGACCTTAGAATATATAAGTCTACTGTTTCACTTAGCTATGTGACTAACCCTGAGCAAGTAACTTAACCCAAGATTCCGTTTCATTTGTAGGATGAAAATATTTATTAATACTTATATATTAATATATTTGTTAAAGGGAGGAAGATTAAGAAAAACATTTCAAAAGTCCTTTGTAAACTATAAAGTTCTAAACAAATACGAACTACGATTATTATTATCACCATCCCTATAAGTAGAGAGATGCAGCTATATACATATATACAGGTAGCTACCTGTATGTGACATTAAGAACTGGGAACCCCTTTCTGTATCCTTTGCTCCCTTTAAAGCAGCAAGTGCTGTAACACAGTATACATTTAATTAATGTGTAATAATTTTAGGAAGTACAAGTTTTCACACTGTGAGAGCCCTCATAACAAACCAATTGTCAAATCACTTTGAGATTCTAATATTATCTTCTAAGCAAAATTACTAAAGAAACAGAATATTAACTTATCCAAATTTACCTTTTTCACAAAATAAGACTTTTTCATTTTACTGCAAATGAGAATGCAACAGATTCTTACCTTAATGCTCAATTCTTTTCTTATTTGATCTGTTCTATTTAACTCTTTTCTAAGGACACCAATGGCTTCTTCTTTATCTTCCGTTTCTCTTTGTAAGACTTCAATCTTTTCTTCTTGTACTTTTATTTTTTGTGCCAGGTCTTAAAACAAACAAACAGTCAGCTTTGTACTCTAAGGTCCTATACTGACATTACCCTGAAAAAGTTTAGAAGCTATTATGTTATATAAGAGCAAAAAAGAGACAACTAGAAAGAAGAAAAACATCTTGCTAGAAATAAAAGTTATACAGTACTTGATGAATAAAAAAACACCATGAAACTCTTCTCCTATGCCAGTATTCTACAGAAAATGCCACATCTCCATGTCTTTCCCTCTTCCTCTGTTCTAAACACAATATACAGTAATGAGAGGAAGGACAATCCTCAGAGTTAAGGGTTAGAAAAGAAAGGGCAAGAGAAAACAATGAAAAATTATATAGGTAGATGTCTGTGCTCTAAGTCAAGTGAGTTAGAACAAAAATGTTTTTGTGGATCATTTCAGAACTACTACCATTAAGAAGCTAGTAACTAAAAGTTACCTAGCACTGCCACCTGCTGTTACATTCTTTAAAAAATCTTTATTTTTAAAAAGGGCAATCATTTCCTATAACTCCTAGATTTCAAAAAAATGTATTGCTTTTTCAATTTCATCAATCTAACTAAACTACCTTGTAAAATGTTATGGCAAGAAAAGGAGAGTTGTTTAAGATGTGATTTAAGGTTTAAAAAAATGAGAGAAGTAGAAAATAATGAAACAGCAAACTAAAAACCACTCATGCTTTGATTTTCTTCCAACACAAGACAGGTTAAAATATAGACAATTTGTTAAATAAGCTACTTACCTGCTAGCTTACATTCTCTGTCTACCAGTTGGTTCTGTACTTCTTTTCTCAGTTCTTCTTTCTCTTTTAGATGGGCAATAGTTCTGAAGTTATAAAACAATACAGAAGAAAACATCAGTGAATCATATCATTTCTTTTTCTCCCCAACAAGTATTTTAAGAGGAAATTCCGAAGAATGGTAATCACCCTTAACTTCTGCCAAATGTGCACTTTATATCTGCAATAAGTTATAATTCCATTAATTTTATCTATAAAAAGCAATGTTCTATATACAGGGAATCATTTTGTTTTTGAAAAATCCAAAATAATTAGAATAAAGAACTAGAGATTTTACTTTTCATTTTGTTGCTTGAGTGACTCATTCAACTTTTTCACACTCTCAATTTGTTTATTTAGAGAATCACACGTGACCTGTAAATCTTTGTTCTTCTTTTCAGCAGTTTCATTCCTGAAAAGACAAGGAGATGAGGTGATATTTTTATGGAGGAACACATATGATGGAGAAAAGAAACTCAGGGTCTTCCTTACCATTTCTTCTGATCAAATTGCATATATTGCAGGGAAGAGGAGGAATGTTGCATGAACAAGCGGGACATAAACAGAGTTAGTTTAATTCTAAAAGATAATAAAGATATGTTTTGGCTGACTGAGGAGGTAAAAATTACTATGAAGTGGAAACGTGGGGCTTTAACTTCACATTTATGGATAAAGAGCTTCATTTACAGATAATGTTGCATTACATAATTTGCTATAAAATACATGCCTCTATCTTTATAGTTAAGTCCAGAAACTGAAACAACTTCTATAAAAGGATGACATCTTCAAAAAAAATTAAACTTGCACCTTTCATCACTGGCCTTTTGGGCATAATATATGTTTAAGTAAAAATGTCAAATTAATGAATTAAGTAGTTGAGGATTCTAAATTTCTCTTGCCTCTATAGCTCTGCATCTTATAGTTCTGCTTATTTTTACATGCAAGGTAACCACATAAAAGAATTCCTTTCCAAAGTAATACTTTGACACCTAACTATTTTAAGCATAAAATGTTTTCATGCCTCTAACTACGAAGACAAACAAACTGGTGGCACTGGCTAAATGTGGCCAGTAAAGTGTTTTACTTGTCCCACACAGAGTTTTTAAAATTCTGAATTTGAATGCCTTTAGATATTCCTACCATTACAAATGATCTTCCCCAGCCAGCTTCATTTATTTGTTACTCACCTGGCCCCTCAAAGCTGGAGTTTTACTTCTGGGCCCACCCCTCAATCACTGTCTGGAACATAAGCAGGTCCTAGAAAGCCCATTTTCTCTTGGACCACTGCCTACTTTCTCTTATACCCTGACTTAACACAAATAGTCCACTTTATCGGGGCTGCCTCTAACAATCAGACTTCAGAAAAAGCTGTTGGGGGAAAATATCCTGTTTAAAAATCACCTTGTCCTCACAAATTTTCTAGATGCTGTACATTTTCCACCCTTCATTTTTATTGATGGGCAAATAAAATAAGCACACGGACCTTGCAAAGATAAAAATTTCTACATCTCTACATTAATACCACAGAAAGAAGAACATTTTTTCAAATCTTAACCAGTCTTAAAGTATAAAGAAAAACAAGAAACAAGTTAACTAGAGTGTTTTTATTTTTATTGTTTGGTAGAAAGTATATAACTGTTCCTGGTCTTCCTTATAATTCATAAGTTTTAAAACTGGCTTAAAAGATAAAAAGTGTCAAGGGAGGGAAAAACGATCAATCTCATACTTTGTTAGTGGGTGGGCATATAAATTGGCATAGCCTTTTTGGAGGGAAATTTGGCAATCAATCAAAAATTTAAAAGCACTCACCCTTTAAACCAGCAGTTCACCTATAAGAATTTATTCTGCAGATACAGTCATACATATAAGTAAACTACATTCAAGGACATCAAAGAGAAATACTGACTACAAATTAAGAGGTGAATTAAACACGAACACCCAAATTTCTATGCTATTAGGCTGAATTATATGACAACTATTAATATTCAACCACTTTTGATCTTCAGAAGTGGCCAATTCATATGGTTCAACCTGATATGAACTGTGACAGCTAAGGTCATTCAACAATTATTTATGGAGTGTCTAACCATGTATCAAGCACTGTTCTAGGCCCTAGGGGTTTCTCAGTGAACAAAACGGACAAAACTTATCCTTGAGGTGCTAACATCCCAGATGACTGATGACTCTATGAATAAAGGAAAGAAGTAGCATCAACTGGAAAGAAATAGAGACACCCGTATTCTGTTTCCCGCCATGACACTGAGTTTGAGTAAGCAATACTTCATTGCACTATGACATAAGTTTCTTGCTAACTACTTACCTTATAGTATCATCAGAATATATGAATCCCAGAATTGGATTTTAGGGACACAGAAAAGAAATGCCGTGTGTTCATTCTAGATTCTAACCTTACACAGAAACTTTTACTTTATTAATTTACCTCTGAAGAAGTTCCATGTAGGATTTTGTCAGTACTTCGTGTTCTTCAGCCACAGACTCTAACTTCCTATTATGTTGAAAGAGACGCTCAATATCACTCTGGGCTCTTTCTGATTCAACCTCCTGTGACTTCAGCAACACACCAAGCTCTTCATTTTTTCTCTCAACTTCTCTCAACATATTAGCAAGTGTCCGTGCCTAAAAGAAAATGGAATAGAGACTCTTCCACTATCATTTACATAATATGCTCAGTTTCTACAATTTAAAAGATTTGCCAAATAAATCTGTCTTATTGTCAATTTAATCATTAGGCCAGTCTAGAGGGGTAGAGGACAAGTTCTGCTCCCCAACATCAAGGGTGAAAGTGGGGTCATACAATTTTCACATAGTGTGACAAGTACTATAAAGAGGGCAGCCAGCACAGGGAGGGAGGATTGCTGGAAGTGTGGGAAGGAGAAGACCAGAGAAAGCTTCCTGGGAAATGGAGGTATTAAAACTAACATCTGAAGGATTATCAAAAGTTAGAGAAAGAGAGGAAAAGGTATTCCAGACACAGAAGAGCAAGTGCAGGGACAGAAAACAGAAGAGTACGTCAAGTTTCAGAAACTGCAAAGCAATCTAATATGTCTGACTGCAGAGAATGCAGTAAGTTCTAAGGAATTTAAACTCTCTTCAGAGCTAAACGGTGAGACACTGAAGGATATTCAGCACAGGGGCAATGGAACCAGAGTATTGCCTCAGGGATGACTGTGGAGGAAGAAGGGAAGGTAGATCTAAATACAGAAGAAAGATGCCTTTGTATGTTGAGGGTGGCTGAGAGGAAGGAGAGGTAGGAAGACTAATCAGAGGCTCTGCTGTGATTCATGTGAAAAATGAAAAGAATTTGACCTGCAGCAAACAGTGGTAAGAATAGAGACAATGCAAAAAAAAGCAGCTATTTAGAAGGTAGAATTCAACTGAACTTGGTGAATGACTAATTGTAGAAGGTAAGCTGTGTGATTTCCAGGTTTCTTGTCTGGAAAACTCTTAAGAACAGTACAGGGAATACATAAGAAACAATACATTTTTAAAAAGGGAGGGTGATGAGTTCAGTATTGGTTCTGCTGAGTTTGAAGTATTTGATGTATATTTAAATGGAGCTACACAGGAGACATTTAGTGCCTGAGAAAAAGGATCTGGGCTCAGCATATAAAATTGGGGGCATTAACATTCTGGTAATGACTGGAAACCATGAATCACCTAAATAAGGGAAAAGGGATTAGAACATAATCCTGGAAAACCCAACATTTAAGGGGTGAGTAGAAAAGAAGGATATAGGAAAGAGTATCCATTAGGGTAGGAAAAAAAAATCAGAAGATAATTGTGTAACCAAAATTAAAGGGGAGACAGTTTCGAGACAGAGGGATACTAGTTAAATGCTAAGGACAATTTACTTCAATCAGAGCCATGAAAATAAAACTAATATTTTGTACGTTTTATTTACTACATTTATTTTTCTACTAATCAGATGTGTCTTTATATTGTACACACTTCTGTCTCAGCTTGAGTTCTTTGACAGCGATATTGAGCAATCAGTCTATCAGCTTGTGCAAGGGCCAGAGCTTTTGCTTCCAAGAGATCTTGTAGCCTGCTTTCTTTGGACTGTAAGAAAACATATCATTAATCTTCATCATTTACTGGAAAACATCTCTTAAAGCTTAACTGTTACACATAATTAAAATAAGCTTGTACTCACAGCTAACGTGGATAGTTTCATCTCATATACATCCATTATGTTAGATATTCTCACATCATTAATCTCATCCTTTACCTAGGTTTTAATAGTTAAAAAATCAGAAATTGTTAACGCTCAACAAAATACAAATGCCTAATGTGAGACTAAATCACTGAAACTTAATGTCATACCAGGCAGGTCGCAACCATTTCACTAACCTGGCTATTGCAAAAGAATATCTGGGTAAGATCTGATACTCTCGTGGGAATTTAAAGTACATTAAAGTCAGGGGTGGTGCGGGGCAGCAGGAGGCTGAGCTGGTTAGGGGGTACTAAGGGAAGATGACAGCCATGTTAAAATGTGGGAATTTTATGACTGATTTTTTCCTCTTTCCAAACTTTCCAGAATACTGCCACTTTTTATAGTAAAAGATAAAGTTTCAATGATCAAATCTGCATCTCAAGTTGTTTAGATAAATGTTATAAGAAGGGCTGATATTTAGTTGGTATGTTTCAGGCAGAATCCTACTTATAATGGCTATTTATCACTCACCACAACTCCAGACTGAAGCTTCTCTATTAATTCCTCAATGTTCAATCCAGGAACTCTATCTTTCAAAAGTGGAGGAGTTAAACATTTTACCGATGTTGGAAAACTGTGATTCAATGATTGCAAAGGCATTCTTCTGGGCATATGTTCTGTTTCCTGTTGTCTATAGGTGTTGTTTGCTGCTATACTTTCTCCAAGCCTGAATGGGAATCAAAAAAAGAGAAATAATTATATGAAAATATAGCAAAAGGCAGAGTTGGTACAGAATTAGGGACTCACTGAGAATGGGTCTTTTGGGGAGTGTAAGTCTTCAAATATTTCTGAAATAATCTTGGAATCTATGATGAAGCAGGATTTGGGTAAATATCCTAAATTTGCCAGAGGAAATTCTTTTCTACTCACAACCCTTTAAAATGACAACTCCACCTCTGGTTTGGAGGCGTCAGAACTAGTTTCTGAGTGTGGATTATTTGTAAAACTTAAATACAAAGTTACTGGTATTGGTAAGAACATCCTTCTAACCATGGGCAACATCACCTAGCCTTTACTTTTTCCTTTGCCCTTCCCCTTTCTCAGTCAGTATGTTCTCACCAACCTGACTTCCATTCTGCCCCTGCCATTTATCCCATCTTGTTCTTGCCTCGGGGCCTTTGTACGAGTTGTTCCTTTACCTAGAACACTCTTCCCACTAGATCTGCATAGCACTGGCTCCTTCTTATCATCAGACCTCAGTTCAGACTCACTTCCTCAGGCCCTCCACCCATAGTGACATGCTCATTATGAAACATTTTGTAAACCTCATGACAGAAGGTCCCCTAATTTACTGCAATATTCAAAATGCCCAGAAGAAGGCCTGGCACAAGCTGGCCCTCACTTTATTTAAACATTTGTTAAATGTTTAAATAAAACAAACACACTCCAAAAAACCAACCTACACACCTACCTACCTACCCATCGAGTATATAAATGCACCTTATTAAACTAAGATAATGTAAATATAGGCATAAATGGACATAAATAAAACAGCATAAGTGGACATCTGAGATAGTGTCCAAAGAGAAAATTATACAACACAAGACAGGGAGGGATGGCAAAGACATAGTGAAATGATAGGAAGGCTGCACATACAGAGACACAGGGTGAAACTCCACCTTTCAGTCAAGCTGAAGCTTTCTACTCTGAAGCGTGGGGGATTTTGCTTCATGTCAGATTACCACAGTTGAAGACGTAAGCTACCACAAAATAAAGCAGCCTCATAGACGTCTACCTTGTAACTTGAGAAGGTCTCTATTTATCCATTTAGTTGTTAAAAAATATGATAAAATGAAAGGAATTTCAATTACATGGTCTCTAGGTCGTGTTTTCCACAGTTCTTCATCTCTTAATTTATGACTACTTAAATTATTAATTCTGAAAAATGAGTTTGCTCAGTTAACAGAAATAGCAGAGGTTGGCAAACTTTTTGTTAAAGGACAAGGTAGTTAAGTATTTTAGGTTTGAGGATCCACAGTCTCTGTTACAACTACCCAACCCTAGCGTCGTAGCATAAATGTAGATGTAGACAATACAGACAGTATGAAAATGAATGGGTGTGGCTTTGTTCCAATAAAATTTTATTTATAAAAATAAGCTCCTGCCTGCTGTCTAGAGTTTGCTGACCCCTGGCATACAGGAATGTCTTACCACTTAACAACTGTCTCAGTTCATTCAAACCACTTTTGCAAATTCATTCATATAAACTACCTAAACTTATTAAAGTAGAACCCTACTAGACATTTTGTCAACCATTTAGTTTACACACAGCACCGAAAATCTGAATTTTTTTCAAACCTAATTGCAAATATTCTCTTAATGTTTAAAATAGATGAACACAGTAGATAATTCTTCCTGGCCATTATCCCACCTTCTGATAATAACAGATTTTTTTCTTTAGGAATCTCTTCCTTGGTAAACGAACCAGATCTGGTCAATGAAAGAGATGCTTAGACTTATCACTCAAACGGTTGGGAAAGAAAAACTCTTTATATGGAGAAACTAAACTGGTAGGATGTAAGCTTAGTACAGAAGCTACTATGTTAAAAAGAGGTGTTGAGACAGAGAGGCGTAGCATCTGGATAATACATTTAATCACCTGGATGGATCTAGCTATTCCCTAAGTGAGTATACATCTGGCCTTTTTAATTGTGGGAATCAAATTTTTTTAATTGAAAAACTTTTTTCACTTGAAAAATTACTATTACAATGAAGTCTTCAATTCACGAATTTTCCAATCTATCTATATTCAGGACTACTAAAGAAACATGGCAGGGTATTCCAGCACCACAAGAGACACACTGCAAATGATTATAACTCACACTAACGCAGGAAAATCTGGCAGTGGAGCAGCTTCCAATAATATTCCCAATCCAGACTGTACTTGTTCTCTACTGTCTGATGTTAAAGCAAAAGCCAAGGGAGTAATCAGGCGAGGATCCTAAGTAAATCAGAAACCAGAAAATAAAAGACAGAAAGAATAAATAATGTCAGGTCTTTAAGAGTAAGGTGAATAAATAGACCTAAATCATAAAGTAATTCTAGGCAAATTCGAAAGTGTTTCTACCTGATGTTTGAATGTATTTAATTAGTCTTTACCTTGTTATAACTGTCTATACAATCAATAGTAAGGCTGGCTTAAAAAACTCTGGCAAAGGTTTTGAATGCTTTATTGTGCCTATGAAAATCATGTCTTAAATACTTTGAGTAATTTAAATATCACCTACAATTGAATGATGTTTTGAGTTATTGTTTTATTTTTCTAGCTACCATTTAAAAGAAAAACTAGAAGAACAAATGGCTAATCATTTCCAAATTAAAGTAAAAAATAAAAGTAAAATTCAAATTAACTCAATAAAAAATTTTAATTTAGTGAATGTAACAATTATACTTTAAAGTGTAAGTCCTTCATGTCAGTAAATTTTACATTAGTACTAAGCCTCAAATCATCTATTCTGAAAAAAATTTTTATTGACATAAAATCAGAGAAAAATATTAAAATATAAATCCTTTATAATTATCAACATTTTAGAATGTTAAGTGTTTTATAGGTACTCAAGTATAATCTAATGCCACAGAACTATAAGAGATGGATTTTACCTCCAAAACCCTCATGGTAACCCTTTATAACTCCTCCCATCCACAGGGATCATTATTTCTACTTTGTAGTCAAGAAAAGTGGAGCTCAGAGAGGTGAAGTAACTTGCTCAAGTCTGCACTGACTAAGAAATGGTGGAGTCAGCATCTGAACCCTCATCTCCTAAGCACTGTGCTCTCAAAGTGTATAAGTAGACCCTGCCTAAGGATCCAGTTTTGGCTTCTACCCTGTCTATACAGGCACTGGAGACATCTGTGTTATTATAGTAACTTAATTCACACGTTTGTTAAATATCTGTTAAAAGCCAAGTTTTGTGGATATCAAGGTAAACACCTAGAGCTCTTATTCAGCTACTATTATTGAAATCTGTAAGTTAACTATTTTCTGCACACCTCTCTAATTTTATTATCACTCACAATCAAGTCCGTTTCTTCCAGGAGTCTCCCTCTTGTCTTAAAACCCTACCTCATCAACCCCAAACGAAAACAAACACCCCAGAACAAATACCACTCCCCCCTACCACAATGCCAATAGAAACAAATGAAGAAACCGGAAACATGACACAAAAAAGGAAAAGGCTGTGGAAGCACCGCTATCGTGAACATCCCATACATTAGAGTCAGGAGCACTTATGTTCAATTGCTGTGGAACTACGTAAAATAACTGTGTAGTGAGAATATTATAGTTATGTAAGACAATTAACAATTTTTAAACTTCCTTCCAATGGCCAGTTCTAAGAAAAACATTAATCTTCTGAAGATTAAGAATATTACAACAGAAACATATAAGAGGAAACATTTATATATAAATCAACTTCAATATTTGAAGAGTTTAAACTCACCTGAAGGATTTTGTAGAAGCTTACTTCCATACCAGGAACCAACTGTTTAAGTTTGTTCATCAAATCAAGAGTTTTCAAAATTACATCAGCAGCAAGTTTGCTTTAAAAATAAGTCATATTTAACTTAAATAACTCAAAAATTGTTAGCTTATTTCTGTCCATACATCAAAAGAAAATAAAAACCCAAAACCTTTGTTCTTAAACCTCAAGAAGATTAAGCATTGTTTAAGAGAAGAAAAAATATCAGAGACCAACATCCTTATAACCCAAGATCCAAAGAGAACTGGCATTAACAGTTTAAGTTTAGACACTGTTTCTTTTTCTAATCTCAAATACCAATACGCTTCAACTTTCTGCTTGAAATTACTAGCAGCATTGGCAACATGACTCATTTAATTCTTAGCCTTGTCACTAAAATATTAACAATAGAGGGCAACCTTAGGCAATAAAGAATATCTAATATTTACTGAATGAATTATACTAAGCCGTTTTTCTCAGCCTTGTAATTGAAAAGGAGTACAAAAAAGTAAAAAGAGATAATTCTTGTTCTTGAGGAATGTAATTATTGACAGTTTTGACATTCATGGAAATTGGAACAAATCACTGTTCAGCATTTAGCAGGTCCTCAACAAAGACTTGTTAGATGGACTTAATTTATGGGGGAGAAAAGGGATAAAATAATCTCATTACTATCAGTGAAAATCCACATTTAACCATAAGCCTTTACATGCTAAAGAAGAAGAGTTGTCTTTGTTATTAGAAACCTTCAGCAGTGATGGATTTCTTTGAAATAAAAACAATCCCTGTATTTTCATCCTTTTTCACTTCAAAATATAAAGTTAAATGAATATAAAAATACTCAGGCAATGTCAAAAAGGAACTCTAGAAAAAAAATGTTCAGAAGTATAAAAGACCCTTAGAGAATCACAACAAATTAAAATAAGACAAACCTAAACAATGAAAAATAAATCACAGATATTAATACCTCTGTTCAGAAGCATGTTATCTATGAATTAAACGAATTAAAAAAAAATTCATCATGAAAATATTTTTCTTAATTCTGTTATACCTTGGCTTAACAGAACATACCCAAGGATGACCCTCCAAAAGGAATGAAAATCATTACATCTTTTGATTTTTATTACCATTTTGCCATTTGTATTTCATATACTTACCACAATTCAGAATCTGCTACCTTTGTTCCAAACCCCAGATCAATCTTGCCATATGTAAATTGTTGCTCTATCAGAGTGGTACATTTGATAGTCGTCAGAATTTTTGCAATATGCATTTTTAGAGCATCATCTCCACACAGAGGTAAGTTTTGTTAAGGAACACAAACAAAAAATTCTCAAAAAAAATCCCTTATATTTTTATAGCTCTTTACAGCTTTTAGGATGATTTCATACAAATTATTCTTGTTCCTGCAATTTGGTGTAATTATTGTTACATTAGCTCAATGACAGATTAGGAAACTAGAGCTCAGAGCATTTAAGTGACAGACAAGTGGCAAGAGATGGGACTGACATCAAAAGTTTCTGACTCAAAGGTAAAACAGAGGAAGGATCTGCTTTTCTACTGGATGTTAGCTTTTTATTAACAGGTGTCACAACGGTTCAATAAATACTTGTTGAAATAAGGGAAGTTATTTTCTCATTTGTTATTCCTCAATTTCTCTTCCTGTACTGTAGTTAATTTGAATATCTATCATTTAAAAAGGGTTAAGTTTGGTAACACTCAATGAGAGAAGGCCTGAATATTTTACAGATAGTATCTCTAAGGTCAAGCAAAATAATCATGTGTTTTTACAGCAGTGGCTTTCAACTTTGGCTGTATGTTAGAATCACCTGGGTAGTTTAAACAGTCAATCACAAACACTCCTCCACCCCAGGGTTTCACATTACTTTAATTAAATCAGAATCGCTGGAAGTAATGTTCAAGAGTATTTTTAAATGTTCTCCACATTATTCTAATACATAGCCAGAGTTGAGAATCACCGCCATCAAGAAAGAGAAAAATTAAGAAGCAGCAGCTCAGAGAAGAGATTAAAGAGATGCAGAGTTTGCTCTAGGGCAGGAAAAAGTTGAGCAAATTCTTGTTGCTCTGAAATACAATGTTATCTTTTTTATAACCAAGTGTTAATGTCATCTTTATTGAAACATTTATAGAGGTGTTAATTTTTAAAACACAAGCTAAAAAACTAAGCTAAAATAATAACTACCAATCTTTCTTTCTTCTCTGATACACTCCATCAAAGAATGGCACCACACATCATCCAGGGGCAACAATTTGCATCAAAAGAGAGTATCAGAGTAGTTATTTTAGAATATATCTCCTAATCTCAAATTATGATAAAAATGTACAGATCAAGTTTAAAGAGCATTTCTGGAAATATTCTTTAGCTTAAAAGTTTTACACAGAAAAATAAAGGGAAAAAAGTCTAGATAACTTTTTAAGAGACTCATCCTTGAATATCAGGTCTGTAAGTTTAAACTTGAGTTCAGTAATTCTGAACAGATTCAAGCATGAGAAATGACAAAATTATAAAGACAAAAATGCAGTAAATACAATTCTAAAAAAATAAGTAGTTAGTTTCCATGTTTATACTGAAGGATATTTAACAAAACTTCAATGGCCTTGACCATCCTTTCACATTTTTTCCTTATTAAAGCCTCATCTAGATTTTGTTCTGTGAACTGAAGCTGATCAAGGAATGTAGGCAGCAGAAGGGTCACAAAACGGTCAGCTGAGGAACAGTTAGCAGTATCTATGACATCCTGGAGAATTAACCACCACCAATGATTAAAAATAAAAACAGAGATGGAATACAGAATGCATAAACGGTCATCACTGAACTGCAACACTCTTTAAATTTCTTATGCAGGTGATCCTTGAACAATGTAAGGGTTAGGGACGCTGACCCCACCATGCAGTCGAAAGTCTCAGTACAACTTAGTTGGCCCTGGCCTTCTGTATCTGTGGTTCTGCATCCACGGATTCAACCAACCTCCTGAATTGTGTAGTATTGTAGTACTTACTATTGAAAAAAAATCCACATATAAATGGACCCAAGCAGTTCAAACCTATGTTGTTCAAAGGTCAACTGTAATTACTTTAAAAATTCTTTGACCTGTGTCTCCGATTTAAAATCTACCCTTTTATCCAGTTTTGAGGACTATGATGACTTTTTTCTCAAATGGAACAGTAAGGTTTTGGGTTAATCGAATGCAAACAAGACTTATTAAAGTGGACTGTATCTGTGATTTAAAAATTATTCTAAATTAAAAGTGTATACTGAAAACAAATATCCCGAATTTGCTAAATGTAATTACAATAACTAAATAACAGACACTGGTCTTAATACTTCACAACCACAAATAATTCCCATCAAGAATCTCAAAGCACTTTTTAAATGCAAAAACTGTTAACAGTCAAGATCAACATGAAACAATAATTTGTGCATAATCCTTAACAAATATATTTAATCACTCATAAACATTTTGGTTTGTGCACAGGATCCAGTCATGAGAGGGTAAACATTCTACTAAGATACTGGGGTAGACAGAATGGGTATAAAAACAGGGAGAGGGCTTCCCTGGTGGCGCAGTGGTTGAGAGTCCGCCTGCCAATGCAGGGGACCGGGTTCGTGCCCCGGTCCGGGAAGATCCCACATGCCGCGGAGCGCCTGGGCCCGTGAGCCATGGCCGCTGAGCCTGCGCATCCAGAGCCTGTGCTCCGCAACGGGAGAGGCCACGGCAGTGAGAGGCCCGCGTACCACAAAAAAAACAGGGAGAATAGTACAGAATACTAAATGACCTAGAGAGTAGAATCTACCAGAATGTAAAGGCCTCTATGGAAAGGATTTCTGTCTATATCCTAAGTACCTGGCATGCTCCACTCTATTTGACTGACTTAATCCAATGTTCTATATATCCATTCCATAAAGACAGTAGACAGTATCTATTGAGATGGAGAGACAGAATGTGACTACTGAAAGAAGCACAGTCATTCACCAACAACCCATACAAATCTTAGTCAATACCTTTACTTATTATACTGAAAGGAGTATATATGCTATTTAGTGAGAAAACAAACAAACAAAATTCTCGCTAATATTTGTGACCTTGCCAGAAAAAAGGAATTCAGTAGCTGAATGGTAGGGAGTTTAGTAATTGAGAAGTTTTCCTGAAGTGTATGAACAACTGGAAGTTTATTATGAACATTTTACAAAACAAACTGTTCACTGAGAATCATAAAAGTGGAAAAGTCAATTTGTTAATCACTCTAGTACCTCAAATAGTTCCTTGAACAACTCCAGTGCTAAAATAGAACAGTTTTCTGATCCATCCAAAGGTTGGCTTGACCAACGAAGTAGAGCTACAGGAGGTTCTAAACACTTAGAACGGCTTCCCAGAATGGTACTGCCAGATGGAGGTTGTTCAAATATCATCTGCGTAAGCACATGGCGCAGCTGAGTCACTGAACAGAACGCAAGAAGTAACTCTAAAACCTGTGCAATATAAAGCCTTCATTAATGTCAATTTCATTAGACTTGAATGCACAAAGCAACCGAAAAATGAAGCTGGAAATGATATACATTTTTAAAGAAAATAAAGTAAAAATTAAAAGTTGCTTCCAATTTTTCCAAGTATTATTTTTCAAAATGTGTCACTAGGTTCCAGAAGGTTACAAATAAATTTGTTAATGGTAGTTACTTCTAATAACAGGATTGTGAGAGCCAAAGAAGAAAGGGCAACTTCAACTAATCTTATATACCTTCTACAGTACTTAATTTTTTTTCAGCACAAACATGTTGCTTCAAAAATGAAAAAATAAAATTAGTAATTAAGAATACCTGCTATCATGCTAAGATTTAAGAACTGCTATAAAGCATACTTTAGGATAATATTTAAAAGTGGCATCCCATAGCTTTAAAAGCTTAAGGATGGCTACTTCCATATTGTTTACACAGTGTGGCAATCAGCCCCTTAGCCTGCCTCCCTATTCTACTTCATTTCTTCCTTGCTTCATAACTGAACCTTATTCCATTACATAGCATCCCACATCGACTTGTTTACTAGCTGTTAAGTTAAATTCTACCGTATTTCATTTACTACCAACCTATCATTTAAAAAAATTATTGGTACCTCTTTGCCTACTCACTTATTTTCTACCTTTCTTCATCTGTTTCTTATAAATGGCATACAATTGGGATCTGTGTTTTAATCAACCTGATAGTGTCTGCTTTTAACAGAATGCCGCCCATTAGCATTTACTATGTTACATATGATAAACTCTTTGACTTATTCTCTTTTAAATATAAATTGTAGTACTTGTTTTTGAATAGATAATACATTCTTTTGGTTCCAAAGTCAAAGGTACTAGCCTGACCTTTAACTACACTCTCTGGAAGCAACAGACAATATTACCAGTTTCTTATTTATCTTACCAGAGATACGTTCTGCACATACAAGCAAATACTTTCTCATTTACACTTTCTCTGTAAGTATAACATACAGGGAAGTAAACATATCAATTGCTACTGCAAAGCTAGATGTTTTCCTCAAAGTGAATACACATATATAACTAGCAACTAGGTCAAGAAAGAGAATTCCACTAAAACTCCAGAGTCCCCTTGTGTCCCCTCCCAGACAATGCCCCAACCACTACTCCACATCAGATTTCTGACACCAGAGATCAATTTTACCTTAGCTATTCTTGGATCTTTGCATTTCTGTATAAATTTTTCAATCGGCTTGCCAACTTATATTAAAAACTCACATGGAACTTTATATATAAATAGAATCTTATAGTGTATACTCTTACATCTGGCTTCTTTAGCTTAGCATTATCTTAGTGAGATTCATTCATATTTTCGCATGCAGCTGCATTTCACACATTCTCATTGCTTATAGTATTCCAATGTATAAATATACTACAGTTTATTTCCATTGTTGATGGCATTTAGGTTGTTTACAATTCTTGGCTATTGGTAACAGTACTGCTATGTTTTGTACATGTCTTTTGGTGAACACAAGTATTCAATTCTTTGGGGTAAATATTTAAGAGTGGAATTGCTGGGTCATAGTTGCATATGTCCGATGTTAGTAGATAATACGTTTTCATAAATGGCTGTACCAATTTTTGGCCCATGAGTACAGCAACACTCTCTTTATATTTTTTACATTCTCTCTATGCTTGATATTATCCACATTTTTAATTTTGACCATCTGGTGGGTATGTACTGGTATTGTATTACCATTTAAATTTGCATTTCCCTGAAGATTAATAAAGTTGAGCAACCATTTCATATTTATTGACCAATTCACGGTTTTTTTTTTTGCTCAGGTTATCTTTTGGGTTCAGTGTTTTTCCTCCTTTATAGGTACAAATTTTTAAATGATACACTTTAGATAAGAGTCCTTTGCTCAATATATGTATTGTAGATATCTTTTCCTGCTCTGTAAATAGTACCAGTTTTAAACTTTCATTTTCTATTTAACATTTTCTACATGTCTTTTGGTGAAATGTCTCTACTGGCTATATAGCTAGGAGTGGAATATCTGTGTCATAGGTTGTACATGTGTTTAACAGGCACCGTGAAACAGTTTTCCAAAGGGATTATGCCAGTTTATGAAGATACAAGGAGGGTTCCAAAGTATCGGTAATGTTCTGTTTCTTGCTCTAGATACTGGTTATACGGCTGTGTTCATTTTGTAAAGGTTCAGAGATCTATGCACTTAGATTTTTCTGCACATTATAGTTTTTAAAAACTTTAAAACGAAAAGCTGTGTTTTTATATACCTTTGAAGAAGAATCAGGATCTTTTCCATTAAGAAGACCTAATACTTGATTAAGACATGAAGAAAAGTGTTCATACCTAGGTTCAAAATAAAAATACACATCAAGTGATAATTATGAAACTGATACATTAAAAATGATTTTTATATAAAATAAATCATACTGTTCAGATGTAAAACTGGTTTTGAAACAGATTAATCAAGATATGTATATTTTGGAGAATGACACAACCTTATATACCTAAGACAAAGACTGAAACATACACACACACCCTTGTTATACTTTTACATTTCAAGTCAGGAGAGCAAAAAGAATGGGAATAAAGCACATGAAAACATTTTGATTTTAGTCTATTGCGAATCAGTAGAGTACAAGTTTACTAAATCTAAAAAGGCAGTTTTGTTTATTACAAGTACATCTTGGTTTAAAAAAAAAGTCCTAAAATTTGTCAGAGAACCATACCTGATAAGATAATCAGCAATTTTAGGATTCTTAAGAAGATCCATCAGTAGATCAACTGAATACTTTCTAGTTAGTGTGCCATCACCATTTATGAGAATATTAAATATTAGTTGAAAAGTCTGATGAATGTTTCGAGCATGGAACAGCTTAAAAACAAATCAGGAAAAGTATATTATACAAAAAAATTTAAGTTGACCATCCTAAAACTCAACAAAGAGTCTCAATGACTTTTAAAGTATCAGAGAATATAAACTTCAGAATTATTTTCGTAAATTGCAAAAAAGAAAAAAAAAAACCAAAAAAACTTACCTTTTCTCCAACCTCTTCGTTTAATGTCAAACTGGATAATATTGAAAGTGCAAACACAACCACAGTTAAACTACTATGGGCCAGGAAGCTTATAAGAGTTCGATAAAAAGATTTCACATTATTCTGAGGAAGAAAAAAATTTTTTAATAAATTAGAATAAAAAAAATTATAAGTCTTACATTTTGTTTTAGAAAGTATATCTTACACAGAGTAGGTAAACTTTTATTAAACATTATCAACTTAAGAGATCATTCAAGGAATGAGTAAGATGATACTTTTACATATTGCTTACAGTAGTATGGACAGGTACAATCTAAGTGAAGAGCAGTGTGTAGTCATGGGTTTATGAGCAAATGTTTACCTTCCTCAAACAGTTCCATGGCTCAAAATAACCTCCACCAACAAAACAAGACCAGGTCAGAAAAATCCAGCACATGAACAAATGAGATATTATTTAATTTAAAACAAGTAATACTGAATATTGCATAGCAAGGGAACTGTTCACAAAGCACCTTAAAGAATCAATGAACTTTCCTGATTTAATATATTTTTAACAGTAGTTCAGTTAACTTCACTTGAGTGCCTTCACTTATCTCGAGTACTGGTAGTGATGTTAGGCACTTACTCATAAATATTTCTGGGAGAGCTGTAATTGATTTTGTGGAAATACAAGAGTGAGGTAAATGCAACTGCCAATGGCATATCTCCCCTTTTTAAAAAATAAATTTATTTATCTATCTATTTATTTATTTTTGGCTGTGCTGGGTCTTCGTTGCCGTGCGTGGGCTTTTTCTCTAGTTGCCGTGAGCAGGGGCTACTCTTTGTTGCGGTGCACAGGCTCTAGGCACGTGGGCTTCAGTAGTTGTGGCTCGCGGGCTCTAGAGTGCAGGCTCAGTAGTTGTGGCGCACGAGCTTAGTTGCTCTGCAGCATGTAGGATCTTCCCAGACCGGGGCTCGAACCCGTGTCCCCTGAACTGGCAGGCGGAGTCTCAACCACTGTGCCAACAGGGAAGCCCCGTGTCTCCCTTCTATCAGCACAAAATAATTTAGCATTTCTTGTATTATTCAATATGACAAATAATGGGATGCTACGGAGAAGAAAAACTTTTAGTATTTAACATTTTTATTAACTCTTAACTTGTCTTAATTAAACATATATGAAGGTTGGAAAACGTCAAGTTATTTATATGTCAGTATGACTCTTTGTTAACTTTGATGGGTCAGCTGGATAACACAGGAGAAGTCTTGTAAAATTTTTTTTAAGAAAAAGGTGAAAAAAATTTTCTTTAAGCATAGAGCCCACCACAAAACTAGAGACAAACATTTCATAAACTTCTTACCAAAGTCTTTATGTGTGTTTGAACAGAAAGATTGTGCCGACAAAGATTTGCCAATAATCCTAGACAAGGCATTGTCAACTCATCTTCAGAAGACTGACTGTTGTTTTAAGAAAAATAATAAAAGATAAAAACATTAGGTTCCTTCTAAATTACTCAAAATTATATAGTCATTTACACATTTAAATTCCTTCCTTTTTCTAAGCAAAGAAAAATCTGATTAACATGTGAAGACTGCCAAGCTTTGAATAGTACTGATCATTTATTTCATGTTTTGAAACTAAATGATCCTACTCAATTGCAGCATACAAATATAGAAATAATTGTCAGAGTAACCATGTGCTATCTTATCAGTATATTCTTTGGTCAATAAAATTAAATATAAACATAATTTTCAGTTTCAATAAGTTTTTCTGTCTCAATCAATTCATTTCATAAATTTTTGTTATAAAAATTAAAGCTGCTTTACACCACTTGATCCTTGAAATCATCTAAGAGGAATAAATAAGAATCAGCCTCATTCAGTTTAAAAAGTTGGAAAAACTTATTTAAGAAAAATAGAACTATTACACGGTTTTAGTTAAACCAGATTATTTGCTTACATGTTTGGTTGCATACTCACATATGATCAATCAGGAATGTAATTAATTCATCTATATTGGCACCAGAATGCAAAATTTTGACGTTATATGTTAACCTCTGCAGAAGCTGAATGCACTGAGAATAAGAAAATAGCAGTGAATGTAAACATATAAAAACACATTTGTGTGCTCAAAAGAATGAACTCCTGTGCATATTCTGAGCATGTAACCATTTTAGGAGGCATTTAGAGCAAGAACTTTTCCATATCTTAAAAAGGTTCTATCTTCACATGTAATGAGATCTTAAACACACACAAGTAATTAGACCTTAGAGTTCATCTCCTGATTCACACATTTCTATATATTCTATCTCAAACCGCATCTTGTCATCAACCTGGCTCACTTAATCATCTTAAACTTATATGCAAGTTGAAACACATATTCTATCAATTCTAAGATAGATATTTTTCTTATTTTACCATCTTTAAAACTGCATGTCAGTTTAACTTGCACTGTTTTTCTTTCTTACAACTGATGGCATATTAGGTTGAGAAATATTATGGGTATAAGAGCTTTGAGTCTATGCTAAATAATACCAAATCTGTAGCTTCAGTTTTTGTAGAATGTTTCCTCAATAGATTGAGACATGTGCCAACTCAAATTACAATTTTAATATGAATAGCTGACATCTGTATTTATAAGCCTGTCAAAATAGTCATAATCTGGATTTTTCTTAAATTATAGTGCAAGATGTGAATAAAATTCTCTTCTTTAGAAACTCTTAAATAGTAGTACATGTGTGACCAACCAGCTTTTAAATTTATTAATGGTGAGAACTGTGCCTAATCATGCGGTATTATACCAGCATATAGTACACTGTAAGCCAGCAGTTTACGATAGATACTATCAATTTTGATCGGAAAATAAGGAAGGAAGAATGAGCATTAAGTGGAAAGTACTGTGTGGGTGTACATACCTGCAAAAACACTGAATCATTGTGGCAAGTACTGCTCCGACAAACCACTCCTGCCAGCACACTATTCAGGCTGTACGTATTCTGAAGACAGTCTCTGGTTTCATTGTCTACAGCTGTAAGTTAAAATAAAATGACACAAGATAGATCATTTTTATAAATAATAATTTAAAATTTATTTCATATTAAATTTACCATTATATAAAAATATCAAATATGATATGGCTATTTTGTTTACAAACACCTTCCAATTCAGAAATTTAACCAGGGTGGCTATTATATTGGACAACACAGATATAGAACATTTTCATCATCTACTGGACATGCTGCTCTATGTTATCACTTCTGTATCACTGGGTTTTTTTTTTTTTTTAAATAAGCATGTATTAATTTTATAATCACACAGAGAAATATCTCCCCTCCACCCCCAAACACAAATCAAGAATAAAGTAACCACTGAATGAAAATTTTAAAACTAAAGGTAAGGTAGGGAAAAATAGAAAAAGTAACACTTGCATTTTTAGCCTTAGCTCTAAGTTCAGTGTAGTCTATCAAAAAAGGATGATGTTTTGATCACTAGCTATGACTTTCCAGAGCGCTGTAGCTCACACTGACATTATGTACATGCATATTTTTTTAATTCAAAAATAGGCCCGCATTTCCCAAGGTACATTCTTTTCTGTAGACCACTGAACCCTTGATATGCTTCAGATTCTTTGTTCTAATAATCTTAAGAAAGGCTGCATATAATTTTCCCTTTTCAAGAGATCCACAATACAAAATAGTTCTGATAGGTGCTGCAATGAAGAAATCTTTTGAATGTGAATCATTCTCCAAAAGATTCTATAACTAAATCTGTCCTTTAAAAAAATACTAAATTCATACATCTTCTAAAAAATAAAAAAGAGAAACTAATACATTACCTAGTTGAGATAGCAAACTGACGATACTTAAGATCAGTGAAGCACTTATGTTTGGGTCTTCAAGTAGCTCTACAAGGCAACTTAAGCATTCACTTGGTAGTATGTGATTTGATGTAAACAATCGGGTGAGCTTCTGTCCAGAAATTACCTAGAAAAGAGTCATTAAAATGTGTTAGTTAGGGCTTCCCTGGTGGCGCAGTGGTTAAGAATCTGCCTGCCAAGGCAGGGGACACGGGTTCGAGCCCTGGTCTGGGAAGACCCCACATGCCGCGGAGCAACTAAGCCGTGTGCCACAACTACTGAGCCTGCACTCTAGAGCCCGTGAGGCACAACTACTGAGGCCATGTGTCACAACTACTGAAGCCTGCGTGCCTAGAGCCCATGCTCCACAACAAGAGAAGCCACTGCAATGAGAAGCCCACGCACTGCAACCAAGAGTAGCCCCTGCTGACCGCAACTAGAGAAAGCCCGCGCGCAGCAACGAAGACCCAACACAGCCAAAAATAAATTAACAAAACAAAACAAAAAAGAGCCCTCTTTAAAAGTCATGAGGGACAAAAAATAATTTTTTAAAAAAAGAAAATATTAAAAAAAGAAAAAATGTGTTAGTTAAGAATTGGCAATTTTCACTTCTCCATTTCAAATAAAAATCCAGTTCTTCCAAAGTGCCATTGCCACACTCTTTCCCAATTTAGAAAATTTATACATGTTGTTCCCTCTGCATGGAAGATCACCTATCCCTTCACTCACTAACTAACGTAATCATTCCAGTCTCAATTTTGTTTCTTCCACTAAGCTTTCTCTAATCCTCTTCCACTAACTAGGTTAGGTTTGCCTGTTATACTATCCTATAGTACATTACACTTTTATTTGCTAAGTCAGCAAGCTTTTGCCAACTTAGCAATACGTATCCTCCCCACTACATTGATCACTCCATGAAGGCATAGACTACAAATCAGCATTCTACTATCAATATATTTACCGAATAAATGAATTCCATCTTCTTTGAGGGAGGCAAATGGAAAGTGGAAAGCAGCTAAATCCAAAGGATTATTCATGGCATTAACTATGTGAGTATTCCTTCTGCTCCCTACCAGACAGTACCTAAGCCCAGAAGTTAGAGATCACAAAGAAGAAGTTAAAAAAATTTTTTTTGAGTAGGCAGGTCAGGAATTAAAAAATTTTATTATTTGTTATTTCACTATTTACTCCTCTCATAACACTATAAACGTACTACCTACCGCCTACTAGCACCACCTCCTGAAAGGGTAAGCTGGGATGAGGGCTGGGAACAGTTGTCAGACAGCCACTTACTTTCAAAATGCTTTATGAATATTATTCATTATTAAGAAAATCTTTTCTATAAATATAAAAAAACAATCATTTACTTTAAGATTAGATTAAATCTGTTCTAAACGTTTTTATTCTTTTTTTGCGGTACGCGGGCCTCTCACTGTTGTGGCCTCTCCCGTTGCGGAGCACAGGCTCCGGACGCGCAGGCTCAGCGGCCATGGCTCACGGGCCCAGCCGCTCCGCGGCATGTGGGATCCTCCCGGTCCGGGTCACGAACCCGCGTCCCCTGCATCGGCAGGCGGACTCTCAACCACGGCACCACCAGGGAAGCCCTAAACGTTTTTATTCTTAAAAGACTTTTTTTAAAAAAGACTATAATCAGAATTGTTTCTTTCTTTTCTATATCCCTTTTATACCCTCGCCCAGATGTCAGTTTTTCTTGTAAAGCTTTGCTGATAAGAGATCTTCAGAATATCTCTTCCCACAGAGTATGTATTTTAACATTAAAGTAAAAGTCTATCAGACTGAAAAAACAGGTCCAAAGGTGAAATTAGATAATGATAGTAAATATTTTGAGGTAAGGAACCTTCTGAGCATTGCCCTTTTGCCTGCTTATACAGTTAGCCCTCTAAAATATTAAGACATCTTCTGCTTTAAATACAATTTCCCTAAGGATTGGACCTGTATTTCAACAACGTAAGTATTCTAAGATATAATAATTATTTATTATAAGGTAAAATAAAAAAAAATCACTTTGGATATTTTCCTCTTTACTCATACACACTGAATGTTTTAATGCAAATAGGACTTATTTCAGTAATAACTAATACTCTAGCACTTACTCTGGGCTAGCTATTGTTCTAGGTACATTATGTATGTTAATTCCTTTCAGCTTCATAATAAACCTGTACTAATTGTTTTACAGATGAGTAAACTGAGGCACACATAATAGACAGTGGTACAACTGGGATTCACTGTTCCTGCATCCCTGCTCCATAATCATTACATAAGATTAGTGCTGTGAAACACCGTCAAGAATGAGACCAGGGCTTTCCTGGTGGAACAGTGGTTGGGAATCCGCCTGCCAATGCAGGGGACACAGGTTCGAGCCCTGGTCTGTGAAGATCCCACATGCCACAGAGCAACTAAGCCCGTGTGCCACAACTACTAAGCCTGCGCTCTAGAGCCCGCAAGCCACAACTACTGAGCTCACGTGCCACAACTACTGAAGCCCGCGCGCCTAGAGCCCGTGCTCCGCAACGAGAAGCCACCGCAATGAGAAGCCCACACACTGCAATGAAGAGTAGCCCAAGCCTGCATGCAGCAATGAAGACCCAACACAGCCATAAATAAATAAATAAATTTATATTAAAAAAAAAATGATACCAGCTCAGCTCTGCTGATCATAAAAAAAATCCAAAGCTAAGGTTCTGCAAGACAAAAATAGTGCAGCAGGATAGCAGAGTGAATAATCGTTCACATGATAACCATCTATCACCCTTTGTATCCTCAGATGTTGCTCTCAGGTTGCTCTCATGAGGTCTCATGAAAAACATTCACCATTAATACTGTCAACCAAAAGAGTTAAAATTTAAAAATCTGAGAGCACCAAGGAGTGGTGTGGATGAATGACAGCAAAATTCACATATTGCTGGTGGGAGGATACATCAGTATAACTTGTGGAAAACTGGTGTTTTAACCAGAACTGAACATAAACTTACCCCAAGACCCAACAATTACACTATGAGGTATATAAGAGAAATGAATACATACATCCACAAAAAAATGTGTAAAAATGTTTATAACAGAGTTACTCATAATTCCACCCAGAACTGGAAACAACCCAGATGCTCATGAACAGGATATATATAAACTGTGGTACCTCTGTACAGTGGAATTCTAAATAGCAATAAAAAAGAATGAAATACTGGCACATGGGCCACGTGAATAAATTTTACAGATTGAGAGGAAGAAGCCAGACACAAACGTACATATTAATCCACTTATCTGAAACTTTAGGGATAGTTGAAAAACTTATAGGGTGTTGGAAATGTCTCATACGACAGGTGGTAGCTACTTGAGTGTACACTTATGTTTAAAAAAAACTGTCAAGCTCTTCACTTAAGATTAATGCACTTTATGTAATGTATGTATGTTATCTCTCAATTAAATGGCAGAAGAATTTTTGGTAAACCTCTTGAAAACTTTGGGAACACAGTACCAAGAAGCCAATCTCCAAGCCTCAAATTTCTTTGAAGTCTCTTTCAATTCATGATAACACCCTGTTCAGATTCACAACACAACTGTTTACTCTCAAAGACAGGTAATGTTTCAGATTAGAATCTAAATTTCCTAACTCCAAATTCTTAAATAAAACTGACAGCTCTGATTATTCTGTGGCTTCTGGAGTCCACTAGTGCACTGTTATATCCTCATTAAGAAGCAAAGCCCTAGCATTTATTTAACAGCTAACACCTTCATTGTTAGGTTTGTAGGGATTTGTTGAGGTAATGAATGAAAAAAGAAAAGTGTTAAGAGATAAGCTCCTGAAGTGGTAAGAAGAGGAGCACCAGTGAAGCTTGAAAAAATTCACAGTTAGTGCACTACAGTCACAACAAAGGCTGATGTTGCTGTGCCATTCACTGTTGCCTTCTCTGTAGTATTCTGCAAACCTTTGGTAATTTAGCCTTTTATCGTAAGGTTAATAAAACAAATAATATATTTAAAAATTACGTTCAATTTTATGTTAACAGAAGCTGCGACAGAGAGAACTTTAATTCTATGTTAACAGAAGCTGCGACAGAGAATTAAAATAAGCTTTGATTGAGCTTAATTACTTTTTATTAAACTGAGGTTATTATTAGTTGGAATTCCCTGAATGCATAACAAATGACAGCAGGAGTTTAAGAGCCTAAAAACAAATAGGATCACAGAAAGCTGTGATTATAACTTTTAGCATAAGATAAGTACACTCTAGATGCAAATCACCAGGAACTAACAGAAAAGTGACAATTCAGCATTTTAGGACTGAAAAACTGAGCAATAAATTTTGGTAAAGAAAAACTGTGATTACTAGTAAGGGAGATTGCTTCCTAATCCAGAGAAAGATTAAATAATAATTTTCAAGCCCGAGTTCAACATGAGTTCAAATAAAAGCAGTAAGCAACAGGTTCAGATTGTAAACTGCCTAGTGACAGGGGTAAATCAAGTTTTAATCGTTACTCCCCATGACCTCCACCTCCGAGAATTGTTGTACATTTTGAGAAGGCTCTGTTACAATGGAAAAACCAACATGAGAAGCAAAGGAAAAGATAACAGCTCTAGCTCTTTCCTCTACCAACTCCAAATACGGCCTAAATCCCCCAACCTTTTGTCTCAACCTCCCTCTTTCTAGGGCTATCAGTAGTTACTCATCCCTTGCTGCAGTCAGCTGAACGCGGAGGGGCTTGGGGCGGGATAGAGGAGGGTGGGAATTCAAAGCTGATAATCTTTAGCCATCTTTACCATACAAAAAGGCAGCGGAGGGAGCGAGCTGTCCTTTCTTTTCTAGGCTGAGACCACTACATCCCGGCCACCAAGTGACCGAAGGCTACGAGAAAGCCCGTCTCGTCCGCCACCCCGAAAGCCCTCACCTCCAAGTGCCGCAAAAGCTGGGTGGCGTTCGCTTCCGACTTAACTGCTTTATACTGACTAATGGTCAGAAGCAAGGACTTCAAGCAGGCGGTGTTGTCCATCAGGACCCGCCACAGTCCCGCTTCGGGATTACCACAGCTCGGTCCTCTAACTTGACCCGCGCTTTTTAAAAAATTTTCCGCCCCCACCCACTCGCTCCCAGAAGCTTCCGGTTCCGGTCGGGCTCCGGAAGTCCCTGGGCAACCTGGGGAAGGGACCCTTCTAGGAAGGGAAGGGAGGGGAGGGGCGTGGTGGTGGAGGGAGGGTGAGGTGGGGATCGAGGCCCTTTGTGAGTACGTGAGGCGGGCTGGGAGTTGTCCTTTTAGACCCCCTGATCCGAAAAGCCGCGAGGTTTCAGTTCGAGATCCCGTGAAGACGAGACATCTCGCGAGAAGTGCAATTGCGGCTCCACCTGTGAAGGGGCGGTGGGCCGGTGGGACGCCCGGGGGGTCCCCGTTAATCAGTGCGGTCTGTTTGCGTTTGGTTCCTCGGCCTTCACGCTGGATGGCCAGTTTTTCCTTTGTGCATCATCCTCTACCTGAGAAATGGTCGCTTCCCCCTAGTCTAGACACGGTGAGGAGCTCTGAGGAGGAGAATCTTGGGCTCTAGATTTTGAGGCGGCCTGGGAGGGGCCTCTTTTTAAAACCGCTCATTTGTCCACCCCTTCTACTCAGGAATGTTTGTTTCTTAGAGTAAACCTATGGCCATTCGGATTCGGTGGAAAGTTAGTCATGCCCTTATAATAGTGGTTGTCAAATTTGTTTGAGAAAGCTGGTCCAGGTGACTCCTGAGCCAAGTGTTGCTCCGGAGGGTGTTCTGATTAGCGTCAGTTTTTGTAAGTGAAGGTGCTGTTTTTATCTGGCGTAGTTGATTGTTTTATAAATCTTGGTGTCTAAGGAAATGGCACTGTTCGCGGTTTTTCATTAGAGATAATATTATGCATGTATATATAATGAAATGAGACAGGCTTGGTTCTGGAGCTTTTTGCTTAATGTATGCTAATGTTGAATGAAGCTTTAAAAGCCAGTTTGGATAGAATTTTAAGCATAGGGTACACGTCCTTTTAATTAAACCATTTGTCAGAAATCATGTTTTGTCAATTCAAAGAAAGTATTCTACGTCACTGTATTTTTAAAGGCAGGAATTATTTTTATATTAAGTTAAAAATTAAGTCTGAAAGCTTAAAATAATAATTGAGGCGTAAATCATTGGGTAATTAATGTATTTATGCATTTATTCATTCTGTAAACAATTGACTGTATAAAGTGCGCTAAACCTGCCAGTCAGGGAACCGGCTGGGAAGGAACTGTCTAATCAAGGAAATGTACTAAGTAGATCGTGCATATGGAATTCACCGCACAAATTAGAGGCACCATGCAGTTGTGGTAAAGAGTGAAGCCAGGCTGTCTGCTTACAAATCCTAGCTCTGCCTTTTACTATGGGATCACAGGCAAATTCTCACTGCTTCAGTCTCTTCATAAAGTAAAATTTGACTAACAGTAGTATCTGTTTCATAAAGTTGTTCCTTCAGTAAATAATTAGAGCCTAGAATGTGCTAGGCAGTGGTCTAGGCACTCGATTAAGTGAATAACGTAAAAATCCTATTGTCATAGAACAAAAATCCTACCATTGCCTTCTGATAGGGGAAAGAAAAACAAATAACAAGCACAGTAAAGAAAGCGAGATGGAGAAAAAAGAGAATTATTCTTCTAGAGTTATGGTTAAAAGGAAGGGAAATGGGAGGTCAGGATAGAGAAAACAACATTGGAGGAAATATCAGTACTACAAGGAGTTGAAAAAGAGACCTATGCTCTCTAAGGGGAAAGATTTCTAGATAGAATAGCAAGGGCAAAGGCCTTGAAATGGGAGCCTGAGAATGTGTGTGAGGAACAGCAAGGACACCACTATGGCTGGAGTAGAGAGCAAGTGTGAGAGTAGTAGAGATGAAATCATGTCAAGTTATTATAAAATGAGTTAACCAACGAAGAATTTAGAACAGTTGCCTGGCATAGTTATGTTCTCAGCAAGTATTAGTTACATCTTAGTTCCTTGGCAAATACAGTGATAGCAGTTTGGCAGTGTCAGATTTTTCACTAATAATGACAAACGTATCATGATTATCCCCATTTTGACCTGAGGGAAAGGGTCAAAGCTGTTTGCTGTTAAGTGCCATCTTTCTTCGAAATCTTGCATTTTAACTTGAGCAGTCACAAATTTTTCATCTGTTCCGTATTTATTTTAATGTAAAATAAGGCCTTTCTCAAAAAATCTTCACCAAAAATTGATGTAAATTTAGTAGGATATACCACTTGTGGTAGCTGTGAGAAGTATCTTTTGTCGGAGATACTTGCGTATCCTAATATGAGAAACAGAGCCATGTTTTAAGACACAAAAAGATGGGAAAGGAGGAGAAGGAGACGAAGCTGGGTCCAAATGACTGAAGGCTTTATTAACCTTGAGCTTGGACTCCATCCTGAATTCAGTGGTGATCTCTGGTTTTAAACTGGGGCCTAATCTAGTTAGGTTTGTGTTTTAGATTGATTACCCTGGTAGCTAGACAGGCTATGATTCTGAGGAGGATAAGACCAGAAGTAGGGAGAATATTTAATATACTGGAATCTTTCCAAAGGATAGCTGAGATAATTGAAGTGGAGAGCAAAAAGATGACAAATTTGAGAAATATATATGAGGTGAAATAGGCAGGACTTAGTGACTGATTTCAAATGTGAAGAGTGAGGAGAGGGATGAAACTAGAAGGGATTCCAAGTTTCTAGGTTGGGTGATAGAGAAGATATAGAAACTGCTGAGGTAGTCAATATTAAGTATTCAGGTTGTATTTTATTTTCAATGAAATTTAATATAGCTTATCATATAGTCTTGTACCATTTTCGTTAAATTTATTCCTGGGTATTATATAATTTTTGTTACTGTGAGTGGGTTCTCTTTTTCTCCTATAAATTTTTTATTTGTTATTGCTACTGTTAAAAGAGAAACTGACTTTTGGTATATCTTTTATCCAGCCTACTGATGAAAATTCCTCATTGATTCAGTTTTGCTTCCTCTCTTAGATTTTCTAGCTATATATCATCTGCAAATAATAATTTCATCCCTTCCAATATTTGTTCTTATACTTTATTTCATTAGTGTAATCTTTAAAGTATGGAATAATCATAATGATATTGAACATCGTAGTCTTATTACTTAATTGAATGGGAATGACCAGTATTTTAACACTTAGTATAATTTGTGCTATTGGCGTGAGATAAATATTCTTTAAAATGTTTTGGCGATTGCCCTTTATACCAGTTTTATTTAAAGATTTGCTGAAATGTCTGCTAAAAAAATTATTAAATGTTTATATATCTTATTTTTCCCTTTAAAATGATAATGCAGTGGATTATATTGATTTTATTTTTAGGATAATAATAGCTAACACATATTGAGCATTTGCCATGTGCCAAGCACTGTTCTAAGAACTTAACTGTTTAATCTTTATAATGTCATGCTTTAGGTACTATTATGATCTTCATTTTACAGACGGAAAAAACTGAGAGCAAGGTGAAGTAATTTACCCAAGGTCACACAAGAAGTAGTAGCAAACCTTATATTTGCTATGCTGCAGATATTTTATTCAGGATTTTATATTTATGTTTGGGAGAATTTAAAATAAATTTTCTTTATTCACTCTTCTGGAATTTGGATTGTATGTTACTTTTGAAAAACGAATTGGAAATTTTCCATCTTTTTTTCTATGCTGTAGAATAATGAGAATCAAATAGAATCATTTGATCCTTGTAGATTACGTACAACTGGCCTATAAAATCAAGCTTGATAGCTTATTTAGTGGTAGATCTTTAGAAAATATTTGAATTTGTAATATGGTTATTGATCTGATGATTTTTTCTATCTTCTTGTGTTAGCTTTGGAAATAAAAATTTTTAGCATACCAACTATTTCTCTAAATTTGAAAATTTATTGATGTAAAGTTACATCAGTATACAATAATTCTCTTAATCTCTTCTTTGTAGATTTGAATTTCCATTTTCATTATAATGTTATCGGTTTTCTTAGTGGGGCTTTCCAGGGGTTTGTCTATTTTATTCAGCTTTTCAAGAAGCAACTTTGGTTTTATTACATTTTTTTTTTCTTCAGAATCACTAATTTTACTTTTATCTTGAAAAATTTCATCCATATAAATATATTTTTCTTTTATTTGTTCCTTTTATAATTTTTTAAAAGTTGAAGACTTAGTATATTTCCATACTATATTTTTTATTAAAGATTATTCATGCCAGAAAAATTTAAAAAGACAGTAGCTAAAGTGAGCATCCGCATTGTAGTTAAAAAAAGTTTAATTATTTTAATCATTCTGGTAAATATTTTTTAAATGCTAATATTCATTCATTTATCAAATATTCACTGAATGCTAGTTATTTTTCAAAGGTCTTAGAGTCTGTTGGGAAAGTAGCAAACCAGAATAAGTGCTTTTCAAGAGAAATAGAATGCTGTAGGAACACATAATATTTTCTTAAGGCAAAATGTTAAGTATCCAATTCCTTCATCAAGGAGTGGCATGAAATCCCTCTTCTTTGTACATTTTTATTCCTGTCTGTTCTTTGTATTTGATGTAGGTATTTTTCCTAATTTATAGTTCAGGAAACACATTTAAGGGAGTTAAGCAAAATTTGCTTAGGAGCTTACAACTCAAGGGCTGGGAAGCTCCTTTATTTCTTCTGGGAAAACTTTAAAAGAGCATATCTTCAATGCTGAATAGTAAAATGGAATTTTTTAATGTCTCATTACCAGGTTTTAAGTCATATTAGATAAATCATACTGTATGATTCATGAACTGTATGTATCATGAACTGTATGTGTCATGAACTGTATTTTTGATGAATGTGCAGAGTTTGTAGAATACTGAATATTGTACTAAGGGAATTGTATCAGAGGTGTGAACACAGAGCTGACTGTTAATTCATTTACCCACCATATATTTAATGCTAGCTTGAGTGGCATGTACCTTTCTATGTTCTGGGGGTACAGCAGTGAATCAAATAGACAAAAAATGTCTACCCAAGTAGATCTTTTATTTTAATGGGAGATATAGCAAAAAAAAAAGAGATAAGTAAAATATATTAACGTTAGTAATAAGTGCAGTATAGGAAAAAACAGGGAAGGGGGATAGGAAATATCAGAGTCAGGATGGAGAATTGCAATTTTAGTTAGGGTGGAGTATTGATCAGTATTTGCTGCATAACAAATCACCTCAAAACTCAGTGGTTAAAACCATGAACATTTATTTCTTGGTCTGTGGGTCGAGTGCAGTTAGTCTGATCAAGGCATGACTTGGCTGCATAGCTCTGCTTTAGCTGTTTTGTGGGGTAGGGGAGATATCTTGAGCTCAATTTCAGTTATGACAAGGTGTCTACTAGACATCTGGGAGCTATTGATTGGGCTGTTGAATATATTATTTGTAGTTAAGGGAGAGGTCAAGGCCAGAGATAAAAGTTTAAAGCCTGGAGACTAAATGATATAGGGTGAGTAGGATAGAAAAGACTGAACCCCAAAGTACT